TGATGTGATTTCAAGCTACCAATCTGAGTAAAAGACTTCCCACACTGATCACAGTTGAAAGCTTTAAATTCAGTGTGGACAACCTGATGTTGTTTTAAGGTGCATCTCAGAGCAAAGGTCTTCCCACACTGATCACAGCTGAATGGTTTAACTTTGCTGTGGACAACCTGATGTTCTTTTAAGCTGGATCTATGAGTAAAGGTCTTTCCACACTGATCACAGCTGAATGGTTTCACACCGGTGTGGATCAGCTGATGTGATTTCATGTTACAAATCTGAGTAAAGGTCTTTCCACACTGATCACAGCTGAATGGTTTCACACTGGTGTGGATCCGCTGATGTGATTTCAAGTTACCAATCTGAGTAAAAGACTTTCCACACTGATCACAGCTGAATGGTTTCACACCGGTGTGGATCCGCTGATGTGATTTCAAGCTACCAATCTGAGTAAAAGACTTTTCACACTGATCACAGCTGAATGGTTTCACACCGGTGTGGATTAGTTGATGTGATTTCAAGCTACCAATTTGAGTAAAAGACTTCCCACACTGATCACAGTTGAATGGTTTCCCACCGGTGTGGATCAGTTGATGTGATTTCAAGTGACCAATCTGAGTAAAAGACCTTCCACACTGATCACAGCTGAATGGTTTCCCACCGGTGTGGATCAGCTGATGTGATTTTAAGCTACCAATCTGAGTAAAGGTCTTTCCACACTGATCACAGCTCAAGCTTCTGTCCTCACTGTTGGCGCGCTTGCGTTTTCTGGGCTGCTTCATAGCAGGAAAAGTCTTTTCCACAGGGATCGCCGCTGGCTCATCTTTACTTGCTGGTGCTGGTTGTTTTTGGTTGATATCATCCATATTCTGAGGTTTCGGCCTGCTTTCACTTCTTTCTCCTGTAATGACAAAGAACCCAAACAGTGACATCAACTCTATACCTTCAGCTCATCCACAAGTGCCCCGTCTTACCTCACAAAGATAAACAGTTTCACCATCTGCCAAACGTCTCAGGTGCCTGGGGACGCTATGCTGTGGTAAATATTTGAAGTGGGTTCATTTTGGAGATAAAAGTAGTAAAAGTTCAACATTGTGAATAAAATTTTGGCTTGTGTGACTTCAAAGTTTTTTAGTTTATACTTTGTTCAAATTTGAAGAACATCACACTTACAATGTGCAGTTCAGGTTGTATGTGTGAGAGCTGTACAACCAAATCCACACTGACTCAGATTTCCCTCTGATTAACCACGAGGGTGTCACACAGTTATTAAAGTCTGCAGACACTGTCAGCTGCAATCAACACCTTTTATTATAATGCACAGGTGAGTTATAATGCATCTCCACTAGAAGATGGTCCCCTGTTATCTACTTTTTCACAGGCAAGCGTGGGCGAGAGTCTACAGCAGCGGTCCCCAACCCCCGGACCAGTACTGGTCCGTGAGTTGTTTGGTACCGGGTCGCGAGAGTTGATGCTCGGGTGTGAAATGCATGGGTTTCAGGGTTTTTTATCGGTTTTCAGCATCATTTTGTTATCGTTTTTATTGCCAACTCGGTTTTCCTAGGTCTTTTCACGTGTGTCATGAATAAATCTTTTCGGGGCGACCGTGGCCCAGGGGGTTGGGAAGCGTATCTGTAATCGGAAGGTCGCCAGAAGGTGAACTGTTCTGACATTTTGCCTTTTCTTGTTATCAGAAGATGGGAATAATGTTAAGTCTGTATGCTGTTTGTGGACACAGCCAGTG